CTCCCCCATATGCCGTGTTGTAACTAGAAACATTTAAGCTCTTTGGGACCAGGCAACACAGGAAAAAATTTCAAATACTGGAATCCCTATTGGGCGACACATCTGACGAAATTTTCCACATCTTACAATGAAGCTTGCTTAGTAGACCGTGCGGTGACCTATTTACGAACTTCTAAGCTTCCAGTGCCGAGCCCTTTTTAAAGTATTTGGGGTGGCTCTTAAAAGAGCCTTTGGGTTCTTTGAGAATCAGCCTTCGGTTTACTTCTTGGACGCCACCTTCCTGGTGCTGGTTTTCTGCTGGGTGACCTTGGCCTTCCCAGCCTTGGGCTCCCCTGCTCGGGCCTTTCCTGGGCTCTGCGCCGGCCGCCTGCCCCGGCCTCCCTTAGCCTTCCTGCTGCCTCGGGGTGCTTTCGGGGCTGTTGCTGCCCGAGGCTTCTTGGCCTTCTGGGTGGTCTTGGCACTCTTCGGGGACTTCGAATCCTTGGAGATCAGCTTCTTCGCCTTGGCAGAAGTGGGCCTTTTGACCTTGCTCTTGCGGGGCTCAGGAATGGCCTTCTTGTTGAGCTTGAAGGAGCCCGAGGCGCCGGTGCCCTTGATCTGCACCAGGATGCCCTTGCTCACCAGGCTCTTGAGGCCCAGCTTGATTCGGTTGTTGTTCTTCCCCACGTCGTAGCCGGCGGCCGCCAGCGCCTTCTTGAGGGCGGCCAGAGACATGCCAGCTCGCTCCTGGGACACCGCGAGAGCCTCCGTGATCAGCTTGGACACAGAAAGGCTCGGGGTCTTGCGACTTGAGCCTGGCATGCCCACCGGCTTTCTCCCCCTCCTCTTAGCTGGAGGATTCTCCACGGGGGCCGGGGCCGTGTCAGCTGTGGCCACAGGAACCGTCTCCGACATGTCACGGAAAAAGAAACACAGAAGTGACGTACCAGACAAAGCGTAATGTGCAGTGGGGTAGGGAAAGAAGGGGAGCCTCAAGGCCTTATATAGAGCACGGCGCGCTGTGATTGGTGCATCGTCAGGCACCGCCCCGCCCCTCGGGGGAGGAGCCTTTGTGTTTCTTTTACCCCCAAAAGTTGGATCCCACACAAATCCTCTGAGCAGCATCGCCCAGGGTTTACTGCTGAGTGATCCGTGGAGATCCGGATTTCACGTGCCTTTTCACCTTTTCATGAGAAATGACCTTGCATGCCCGAAGTATCAGATAAAGCCCTTGATTTTCGGCGAAATTCAAGGAGAAGAAGAAAACTTGCTCTTTTCCTTGTAATGTAAAAGTAAGTTTTAGCGCAAAACTTACCTCATCTCTTCTGAGTAGTTTTCCAAACGGTGGGCATCCAATCCGTGGAGAAAATAAGTTATTCACGCACTGGTTTTTATGGGAAATTCTCTATGTATGTGAAGGAAATAACACAGGTCGCTTAAATGGCTCCCTGTGTAGACGATGCTTATAGAATCGGCCAAAGAGTGCAGAGTACGACTTTATTTAGGCAAACACAATCTAAGAAACCATAATCTGCAAGGTATGTGGGTGGCATGTGACCCAAACCAGTCCTCCGTCCATTGCAGTTTGATAGAAGACCCTTAAGACTCTAACACATGATATCTGCTTAGTCCAAATCAGGTCTGTCACCTCCGTGGCTGACGTCCTCAACTGAATTTTGCTTCTGTTTTCAGTCATCCAAACCCCACTTCACCCCACCCCCACTGCCTGATGCCAAGCACACACACGGAAAAAGAGACCGTCCTTATTCTCAATCGCCTATAAAACGGGAGGCAGGAACGGTGGCTGAAGAGCTCAGTGGGAACCACAGGCCCAGATCTCTAACAGAACTGAGTTGGCAGATGTGCCTGCAAAGCTGGAAGAGAGTTCTCGCAACAAGGTTCAGGAGGCTTCTTTGGGCTTGTCCTAGGACTTGCCTCTGTAAGACGTCCAGATGGGGGGGTTGTTCTTCAAGGCCAGACCTTCCAGGAGGAGAGCAACGCGGTGCGGCCAAAGCTCCCCGGGGTTCAGCGGAGGAAAACCCCATAGGGACCATCTCGTGGAGATCCCCAAATGCTCGCGCGAGAAGTTGGTTCTTCAGGCGGGAGAACCGCCTGAAGGCTTTAAGGAGAGGATTTGCATACTGGTGCTGTAGTTGTCTTGGTTTTAGAGTTTTCACAGAAACAATCATTATTGAAAATGGCCCAGGGGCGCCTGGGTGGCTCAGTTGGTTAAGCGTCGGACTTCGGCTCGGGTCATGATCTCGCAGTCCGTGAGTTCGAGCCCCACGTCGGGCTCTGTGCTGACAGCTCAGAGCCTGGAGCCTGTTTCAGATTCTGTGTCTCCCTCTCTCTCTGACCCTCCCCTGTTCATGCTCTCTCTGTGTCTCAAAAATAAATAAACATTAAAAAAAAAAAATTTAAAAAAATGGCCCAATGTCAGAGGTTGGTAGTGCGTTTCTGTAGCCTTAAAAGAAAGACAAGGGCTTCGACTTTGTGGGAAAGGAGAGAGTCTACGTGTGAAATATTTCTGAAGTGAAAATCAGAACATGAGACTTTCCAACTTCCGGGTGCAAAGTGAGACAGCAAAGTCTCCGCCTCTCTCTGGCTCATGGGCACGTGCTTACACACACACACCAGGAACAAAAATTCAGGAAACGGGACATCTGGGCGGGCCTGTCGGTTAAGTGTCCGACTTAGCTCAGGTCATGATCTTGCAGTTCATGAGCTCAAGCCCCGCGTCGGGCTCTCTTCTGTCAGCACGGATCGCGCTTTGGACCCTCAGTTTCCCTCTCTCTCTCTGACCCTCCCCCTCTCTCTCTCTCTCTTTCTCTCTCTCAATCTCAAAAAGTAAATACACCTTAAAAAACATTGAGAAAACAATAACCACCTGAAGTGTCTGCATTCTGATACTTCCTAATCTATTTCATTTTTTTAAAATGCTGGTTGCAAACTATGGGATTGATTTCACAACCCACTAATGCGCTGTGACCCTCCGTTTGAAAAATCTTTTTTCAGGTTACAAGGTTACAAGAGGTTACAAGAGCATCTTACTGAGGACCTATTTCAGGGTTTCTTTACAATGTTTATTTACTTGTGAGAGAGAGAGACGGAGACACAGTGCGAGTGGGGGAGGAGCAGACAGAGAGGGAGACGCAGAATCTGAAGCAGGCTGCAGGCTCCAGGCTCAGAGCTGTCAGCACAGAGCCCGATGCGGGCCTGGAACCCATGAACCTGAGCCCAAGTCTGTCACTAAACAGACGGAGTCACCCAGGCGGCCCAAGGACCCTAAGTTTTAACACGTGTTTGGTTTCCCGGACCCTCGGTGTGACCTCTGAGTGCTTGTGCTTGGAGGTCAGGTTGTGAAGTGGATTGATCCTTGTAATTAATTACACGTTGACAGAAGATATCATTCCATTGCTTTACAAGTAACAAAGAATTGGGAGCACCTGGGTGGCTCAGTCCATCAAGTGCCCGACTGAGGCCCAGGTCATGATCTCCCCATTTGTGGGTTCGAGCCCCGCGTCGGGCTCTGTGCTGACAGCTCAGAGCCTGGAGCCTGCTTGCCATTCGGTGTCTCTCTCTCTCTCTC